CAAATGCAGTCACTGTAGCCTCCTTGTTTCCAAGTGACTCACCTTAAATAATTATGAGTTAAAATTATTACCTGAGATGTGATCAAATCCAGACATCTAAGATACGAAAACTATACAGCAGATTATTGACATATTCCATTCCTTATCATGACACTTAAAACCCTGGAAAAATAAGGACTTCTTATTTGCAAGTTTATGGGACTCATTGGAACCAAGGATGACCTTGTAATCCCTGCAGTCAGTCTTCAGAGAGATCTCACCAACAATATAAGTGATTGAAAGCATAGTTGTCGTTATAAGATCTGGACTTAAAGTCGGGATTTATGATCAGTACAATATTCATGTTATGCATTGCAGTGTGAATTAGGCTTTGATATAGTTTGACATTCACTGCAGCATATTTTAGAAGCAAAACTTGGCTTTAGTTTTAGTCAATGGTTTCTTCATTATCTAAAACAGAAGAAAGTGTTTATCAATGCATCAATCAAAGTTTGGGAGACCTCAGAATGTAAAATTATTTAAGGAGACTCAAGGGAGTCATTGCAAACTGTCTACCTAAAATGACTTCAGTGTTATTTTTATTTTTAATGTGAATGTTATAGTTATCTGATTATAGAAACATTGCCTTACACTTACTCAAGAACAGACTCATGATCCTACTCTCAAGCTGTTTAAACCTTAGAAAGAGTCCAAAGAATAAATAAAACATTGTACTCAATACGATGCTTTTGACAGGACTTTGGGAAATAAGTCAGAAATTCCATTCTTCCAAAATCAAACAAAAATTAAGATGATTTTTCAAAATTTAGTTTACATGATATATTTGGGCTGCATCCTCAGTGTTGTTTTCAAAACATGGTAGCAAGCTATAGCATATTTAATGAAGAATACTATATATTTTGGAACTAGTAAGAGCACTTATATGATTCAAGTTTTCATGCATTATATTCATGTTAATGTCTAGTTTCTACAAATATTTACTTAATACTTATTATGCATCAAAACTATGATAGATGCTAAGACACAAAAAGAAATGGGAGGAAAGCTTTGTTTTTGCTACTATGTAATCTCTCATTATCTCAAGATATTCCTTCTAGGTTTTTACAATGTTTGGCCCCTACACACACACACACACACACACACACACACACACACACACATTCTAAATAAAGATTTAGAGAAATATATGGTTGGTTAATCTAAGTTGAAATTAATGGAAAGTTGGAAAAAATTAAAAATGCCTTCTTATCTGTTTAATAAAGGTGTTGCAAGTGGGCTGGTTTAGTCAATTCTTGACCTTCTTTGACAGACAAAAGGTCCTAAAATAGTTTCTCAAGAAAAAAAAAATTGTACTAAATTTCAAGATGACTTCAATGAAATTATAGAGGTACTTTAAAAAGAATGAAAGGACAGAGCCAATGTCTGTCTTAATTTCAGGAGTCAAAAGGAAGAAAACCAAGAGGACAAATAATGATATATATATATATATTGAAGTCATAACTTAAGGGCTTATAATAGTAAAGAAATGGTATATGTATGTATGTGTCTGAAAGAATCATGTTAGAATTTTTGACAGCCATATTTAGTGTAGGCATAAAAACCAATCCAAATTCAACGGGCAAAACAAAATAATTTTACCATATTCCTACATTGATTATTAAATAGATTTCTCCTTTTATGATAAAGGTGTGTATATTATAAATATTATGAACAATGTGTAAAAGACAAAAATTAATGGAAGAAGTACTTACAATGAGGCCTGCTTTGACTGCCTATGAGAATTACAGGTGTGATACTCATACTACAAACAAAGATAAGCCAGACACACTGCACTGAGGAAAAGAACAGCATTATGGTCAGTTTTTCTACATGATGATAGGTTTGCAGGCTGCGAAACATGTGGCAAAACATCTGAAAGCTTAACATGTGGTTCCAGACAGGAGTAGTAGTAAGTTTGGCTTAAAGGTAGATCTGGCTGCCTCCCTGGTGGCCTAAGGGGTTAAGATGCATCACTATAAAGCTATCTGCAGCCACTAAAGCATGAGTTCGATCCCCAGCCAGGGAGCTGACCCACATGGCACAGCAGACCTGTTCCCCTCAGCAGTATTATTTCAGTAGATCCACCTGTTCTGTTCCCCACTCTGTCTCTGGTGAAACCTGGTACCCCCTGCATCTCTGGCCTGCACCTCACTCTTGTATGCATAAATAAATCTTTAAAAAAAAGAGAAAGGTAGATCTGGAAATGATCTGCAAAATGATGCTTTTGTAGCAGGGAGAGTGTGGGAGTTTGCCAGGGAGAGGGAAGTCTGAGTGCCACATAATCCAGGAGCTAAGCCAAGTTGGAGCTGTTCCCAGATCCAGGAAGGGCAAGGCAAAGAGCATTTTCCTCTATTCTGGAGTTTCAAGATTTTATTTCTTTACTAATCCTGCCTCTTCTATGGCTGGGGAGTTTGCAATTCAAAAGCTTAAAAGTAGCAAAAATAAAGAAAAGTGCCTAAAAGAAAAAGCTATGATGATAAAATGTCTGTGAGAAAAGGTACAAACAGAAAAATGAGGAAATTAACTAATAAACTAAACAAGGTGAGGCTGGGTGAAAGGAATGACATCAAAACTCTTGAGGTGACTCCATTTTTTAATTTTAGGTTATTTGCTACAACACGTTACTGTTCCACTTCAAATACTGTTCCACTTCAAAAATGATCAGCATTTGGGAATCCTTTTCCCCCTCTTTTGTGCAGCGCACCTTGCTAATTTTCTACATAGCACAAAATGATTTTTGAGGAGTTAGCTGACAAGGAACCATTGAGGGTCAGAAATAGGCATAGTTAAGGACTAAATTATGATTTATACCTCAATTGTGGTTGTAGAATTACTATTTGTAGTATCAGTGCAGGCTAGGAAAGCATAGGGAAGGTTCAAAGAAGAGAAAGCTGAGCTGGGTTTTGAAGGATGTATAGGATTTCACTTAACAGGGAAGGAGAAAGATGGGGAATAATTCTCACTAGTGTGGGACTAGTGGCATTTTTAATGACTGGCAAAATAACTAGGCTGTCAAAAATACATGGCATATTTTTGAAAGTTGTGGGATCTAAAGTTATTTAGATGAAGAAGAACTTGGAAAGCTGGGATAAGGAGTTTGGATTTCAAGTTCTATCTAGGTGTCTACATTTGGAAGGTGAGCTCAGACTGAAGCCGCCAACATTTCTGATTTGGAGGACCAGTGGAGCCAGGAAGATTTAAGGGGAATGAGGGCTTCTTCCCGCACCATAGCTAATGAAAAGCTAGCTATGTATATCAAGATTCTGTTCACTCCAGTGGAAATTTTCCACAGTATTACAGACCAGAGTTGGTCCAAGCACTGAACACCAACCTGCATCTTTTCTTTTCCTTACAATGCTATTAGCTTCAATTCTAACACTCAGCCAAGTCAAAACCTATGCTTAGGATTTTGCATTGTAGAGTTTAAATTATTAAATTGATAATAACCCAATACAGGATGCAACATTGTAGGGTAAGGAAAAAATGTCAGGCTTTTCTGCCCTCCCGCCATCAGGATAGATGATGGATCCTTGCCGTCCTGAGTGCATGCCTGATGGTGGGCACCTGGAGTAGGGTGTGGGCATAGGTAGATGGGATTCACCTGGGCTGAGACTGGTTTTTTAAGGGCGGTGTCACGGGGACTCCAGCAGAAGCCGAGAGAGAAGCAGAAGCAGAGATCACCAGAGAGCCCAGATAGAGTGAGGATCTGCAGGCCTCCCAGCCCCCCAGCACCCCTGCCTGATGTGTACCGGGTAAATCCCAATAAAAGACCTGCAAAAACCACTGAGGACTCTGACTTCTCCTTTACCCGGTCTGCTGGATCATCAAAAACCTGCATTGTGTCCCTTCCTGTCCCTACAAACATTTATTGCAAGAAATGGATGATGTAAGTTCTTTAAAAAGTGAATAAATAAAAGGAACAACACGCCTAAGATGGAGTCACTCATGTCATGCCAAATCCAAAAGTCTTGCTATTTGATCTAATTGCAATTTCAGCCTTTTCCATGACAAATTTAACCCAAATCTGGAGTTTCCTACTCAGACTAGTGAGGTTATCTTGATTAAGACCTGCCTTAAGGGAAGGTGACTTTACCAGAAGCAATCCTTTTCTTTTGCTAATGACCTAATCACACCTTCTCTTTGACAATAAAATACCTTCCATTGGTACTTACAGAGTCTTTCTACTTGCTAGAAGGGATGTTGCCAGATTCCTGAATCATTTAACAGTCATAAATCAGATCTTTAAAGTATGATAGGCTACAGTCTTGCTATTAAACACCCTGCGGTGAGCACACCCTCTTGATCTCACTTTAGATTTCCTGTCCACAGCTGAAATGCTATCATGTTCTTTATTTTTAAAAACTGCTTCTTGCTCTCTATTAACAACAGCACTGTTTGGCAAAGTTGGAGCCTGTGGCCTGCAGAATCACCTAGAACTCCAGCCCCAACCTGCTTCATCAGAAACCGTAGTAGTCTGTGTTCCCAGAACCATCCAGGTGTCTCTAATGTGTGCTAAGTACAGAACTATTCCCCTACAACATGCAGTAACAATTCCTTAGCACACCAAAAGAGGCTCTTTGTGGTGCATTTGTTACTTCTTGGGTCATGTTCATCTTTTTCCCTGGCCTGTAACCTAGCTCCGACACAGAGCACACTCATTACACACTCATGCACGACTCTTAGGGACTCCTGTCCACAGCAAACACTTTAATTTAACACAACCTTAATTCTGTATTATCCTTCCTATGATCTTGTCTAGATTGCACTCACTCACTTTGATAAACTCCTAATTTTCAAGTCCATCCTCAACATTCCATGGTCATGGCCAACAGTTACTCTTTCCCAAATCCCTTTTTTTATCCTGCAAATATAGTAATTATCACAATGAATTAAATGCTGTGATTACGTGCCAATCTAGGTTAAGAACAGGAATCTTACTGTATTTAGCTCTGAATACTTACCCACATCAGAGAGGCAGGACACCCAGATTCTAATCCCTGCTGGCTGACTAGCTGGTGCCTTCAGGCACAAGGCGTGACCCTCTGTTCCTTCCAGGCCCCTTCTCAGCAGCTGTAAAATCCAGGAGTGGAGTAGATAATCCTAAGGGAGTTTAAGGCCAGGATTTTACAATTCCAACCAGCAGCCAGGTGATTCTGTTACTCTAAAGTTTGAGAATGACTGTTCGTGGTATCCCTACTATAAAATATTTTAAAGCCTCCAATTTTTTTTTAAGTTAATGAAAAGTTTATTTTCTTTTAGTCATGACAAATAATTAAAACTCCTACATTCCAGTTGTACCAGAAAACCTTAATAAGTAAACCAGCCAAGATTTCCTCCCAGCCATTAACAGAAACTCACCTGCAGATAATTTCTCCACTCAAAAGTCTTTGAAGGCCCAACGAGGAGTTTAATTGGAAAATTCCAAAAATTTTCTGTAACTTAGAGAAGCAGCTGAAGTAAGACCTGAGAAGGAAGCAAGAAATAAAAAAAAAAAAAAAGAATTGTATTGAACACATTTCTGTTAGACCAAGTGAATTAAAAAAATTATTTAACAGGGCCTCCCCGGTGGCGCAGCGGTTGAGCGCTGGGTTGCGAAGCTGCCCGCAGCCTCTGCAGCGCCGGTTCGATACCAGGCTGCTCCCCGGCCACCGGCGGAGGGTCCCACATGGCGCGCAGACCTCTCCTGCCGCCCGCTGCTCCCCTCAGCAGTGTACTTCGGTCCTTCTGCCTGCTCTGCTCCCCGCTCTGGCTCTGGTGAATTCTCTCACCCTCCCGCGCTTCTGACTGTACCCAGTGCATGTATAAACAAAAAAAAAAAAAATTATTTAACAAATTAAAAATCATATATGCAAATTATTAAATTACTTCCTAAATCTCCAGCCCAAATTCCTCATGAGAAGGCTGTTAAAGTTTCTGTAAAGCAATGAATGTCCAGGAATGTGTATATCATGTGTACATAGGAACTCCAAGTATATTCTTATCAGCAATGGTTGACTCCATGAAAGAGACAGGCCACCCACAGAAACTTGAAGCAGTTTTGCTCCCAGCAATGATTTGGTTAACCTTTGATTAAACATAGGAATTTAAAGCATGAAAAGGTCTGGAACCTGACACAACCCTTTGACACCATGCTGCCTGTCATTAATGATAATCCACCATTAGATGTTCAGCTTTGAAAATGGAATTAGACGACCTGGGTTTTCAGTCCTAACCCTCCTGTACTGTAAACTGAACCCTGCTGTGTTTGGAGACTTCCTGATTTACTGCTTTGCCTCTTAACTGTTTTCAGGCAAATGGGAGTTGGGGGCAGGGTAAAAGAGCCCAGGGATCAAGTGAGAACAAACAAGGCATCTCAACTACCATCAAGGGAAGCGACTTTTTGCATAGATAAGTCACCAGGTCAAAAGAGCTTTACTCCCCCAGTTGACTTAATCTTTTTTTCTTTTTTTTTTTTCAATCTAGGTGTAAGAATTTCCTTGCTGGGACATCATGCAAGAAATATTTGGTATCCTTTTTCACTTCCTTTTAAAAACAACAGCAATAATGTTAGAATACCCTGGGGTCCCTGCAAAGTCTCCAAGGTTCTTCTCCTTACCACATTATATTGATGTGTTTGAAGGCTCTGCATCTCATTACACATATAGTGCAGCAGCATTCTGAACAGATAGAATATGTGTCTAAATGATTGTTGAATGAATAAATGACTGAATCTGACTCCCACTTTTATGGCTGTGGTTTGCACATAGGAGGAAGTTTTAGACAAATGATAAAATGACGGGCAGTTGGCCTAGACCTCTTCCTATTAACAGTTGACGTGTTATTCTTAGGTTTAACCTTTCTGGTTCTGGAGTCCATGGCTATCCTGCTTGCCTCCCATCTTTTAGCTTTTTGGCTAATTGGAGTTGGGAGTCTCTTTCAGCTCATAGCTTGGATGACTCCTGAATTTCTATGTAGACACTCCTTCCTTTCCATTCTGTGGAACCGCTCAGGGAGGACCACAATTCAACTTCCCCAGTTCCTGAGAACAGAGAGATTTGGGCATCATTTTCCCATTAATCTAGGTGGAAAGGACTAAAATAAACTGTATTTATGTAGGGTAAAGAAAATGTCAGGCTTTTCTGCCCTCCCGCCATCAGGATAGATGATGGATCCTTGTCCTGAATGCATGCCTGATGGCAGGCACCTGAAATAGGGTGTGGGCATAGGTAGATGGGATTCAGCTGAGCTGAGACTGTGCTTTTTAAGGGCGGCGTCACTGGGAAGCCAGCAGCAGCAGAAGCCGAAAGAGAAGCCAAGAAGCAGCAGAACGAAAGCCAGAGAGCCCAGATAGAGTGAAGACTTGCTGGGGGCTGGGAGGCCAGCACCCCTGCCTGCCATATGCCTGGTGAACCCCAATAAAAGACCTGCAAAAAACCACTGAGGACTCTGACTCCTCCTTTACCCGGTCTGCATGGGATCAGAAAACCTGCCCCGTGTCCATTCCTGCCCCTTACAATTTACTTTGAATATTTTTCCAATACAGAGATTGCTTGACATAATCACTACCTTTAAAATTTTTCATTACCCCAAACATACTGTGTACACATTAAGTAGTAATTCCTTCTTGCTCTTTTCTGTAATCACTATTCTACTTTCTGTCTCTATGAATTTGCCTAGTCTAGATATTTCATATAAGTAGAATTATTGTAATATCTGTCCTTTTGTGTCTGACTTATTTCACTTAACACGATATTTTCAAAGATCATTTACATTATAGCAGGAACTTCATTTTTCTGACTGAATAATATATATATGTATATATAGATTGCATTTTGTCTAACCATTCATCTGTTGATGAACAATTGGATTGTTTACACTTTTGGGCTATTGTAAACAATACTTCAGTAAACATCGGTACACATGATTCTGCTGAAGTGCCTGTTTTTAGTTCTTTTGGGATTACTAAGTCATACAGTAATCCTATGTTTAAATTTTGGAGGAACTGCCAACTATTTTCAACAGTAGGTGCAGCATTTTATATCCTCACCAATAAGATGGGAATATATTTGATAGCATCAATTTATCCATACCTTTAGTAGCACAATTGTCTGGGATTTTTTGTTTGTTTTTTAATTATAACCATCCTCGTATGTATGATTGTCATTTTGAGTTATATTTCCCTAGTGACTAATAATGTTGAAAACTTTTTACATTTATTGGTTGTTTAATATCTTCTTTCTAGCAAAGTCTGTCCAACACTGTGCATGTTTTATATTGGTTGTCTTTCTGTTATTGTATTATATGAGTTCTTCATATCTTCTGGATATTAAACCTTTATCAGATTTATGCTTTCAAAATATTTTTCTCATTCTATAGGTTACCTTGTCACTCTTTTGATAGTGTCTTCTGATGTACAAAAGTTTCTGTTTCTTTCTTTTTTTATTTTGTCTTTTTTTTTTTAATTTTTATACAAGAACCGGGGTATAGGCCAGATGCATTGGAGGGTGAGAGGATTCACCAAAGACACAGTGGGAACAGAACAACAGACTGAAGAAATACACTGCTGAGGAGAGCAGCGGGTGAGACAAGAGAGGTCTGCTTTGCCATGTGGGATTCTCGCCAGCTGGCTGGGATCGAACCCGTGCTGCAGAGGCTGTGGACAGTTCACAGTGCGGCGCTCAACCCCCTGCACCACCATGGAGGCCCCAAAAGTTTCTGTTTCTAATGAATTCCAATTTATCAATTTTTTCTTTTGCTACCTGTGCTTTAGCATTATATTTAAGGAACAATTGTCAAGTCAAAGGTCATGAAGATTTGCCCTGTGGTCTTGTTTTTTTAATTAGGTTTAATTGAGGTTTACATTTTGAGATCATTTTTATAAATGGCTTCAGGTAAGAGGTCAACTTCATTCTTTTACATGTAGATATCCTGTATTCCTAACACTATTTATTAAATAAAATGTTCTTTCCTGCATTGTATAATGTTGGCAACTTTTGTAACCAAAAATTCTAGATTTTACTTCTGGAGTCTCCATTTTTTCCCATTGCCTACATACCTATCCTTATGGCAGCATCACGCTATTTTCACTACTGTAGAAAAACTAATATTTAAATGATGATATTCTAATTGGCCACTATAAAGTATGAGGGACAGGGCTTTGTATAGGTAAACTATTGATATTCCATGAAACACAGAGTTCAATTAGCTAAAGATAATTTAACTCTAAACATGTAATTTCAGTATTAGAGAATTAGAGTTCACCCATTTCCAATATTCTTCTCATTCTGGACCAGACCAAAGACTTTGGGGATCTTTTATGACATGTGTCAATTATAGACCAAATATGTAAGAGTTGCTATTAAGTCTCCATGACTCTCTTCTCCTGTTTTGACAACCAAAGATGTGAGGGATTGTAGATGGTGCAGCTACAGTGATGGATGGTACATCTCTGAGTGATTCTGTGAAAAAGAGACAACCCTTACCCAACATCCACTTCAGGTGACCTGTGATAGACAAGTAACATGTGACAAAAGATCATTTGTTGTGGTAAATCACAGGGATTTGAGGGCGTATTTGTTAATATAACATATGTGTTCTCAAAATGTGGTCCCTGGACCTAGAGAACCAGTTTCAGCCAGAAATTTAATAGAAATGCAAATTCTCAAGCTGTACCCCCAAACCTAGTGAGACTCTTTGGGGCAGGGGCCCAGCAATCTATATATTAAAAAATCTTCCAAGGCATTCTTATGCAAGGTAAATTTGAACACATTACCATACCACAGCATAATCTAGCCTATCTTGTCTAATACTTGGTAATGAGTTGAATATTTAAGTATGGTTGTGTATAGAAATGAAAAAAAGGAAAAGAAAACTATAAAATACATATTTTAATCATGATCTTTTTGAACATTCCTACCCCTGTCACCTCAGTTAGGGAGTATTGAGTTTAGCTGCAGAGCAGGAAATGTGAAGTTTCCCAGTACAGAGTGCTGGGTGGGGAGATAATCCTGGTTCCTTCAGCTTTGCCCATCTGGCATGGATCCCCCACTGAATAAGTGAACCAAAGTGGGAAAAACTGTTGCCCAAGTGGGAGACAAGTGATGTCTAGTCTTC